CGTTCGCCCCGCGTGCGGCACTCCATGCCCGTGTGGTGCTGCCGCTGCTCGCTGGCTGGTCATTTCAGGTGACTTCTCCGCGGGGTAGGGAAGGGAGTGGGCGGGGGTGGAGCGCGCTTTGGCCCCGAGGCAGGGCCGGGGCCGGGGCCGGGGCCGGGGCGGGTGGAGGCCGGGAGGGTTGGATTGGAGAAGGGTCCGGAGTGGGAGTCGAGCCCGGGTGCTGGGTGAGTGCCTGGACCTTAGGGGCCTTCGACCGCGACCCGCCCCGCCCGGGCGCTGAGTCCTGCCGGCTACTGCCAGGTCCGGGTTCCCCGCCTCGGCTACCCGGCTGGAGGACTCCGCTCAGGGGACTCCCCTCGTTGTCCCCTTTTCGTCGTCCTGGACCGTGACTGTCAACGGGACTTTGAGACCCGCTAGGCCCGGAGCAAGTCTGTTAAGGCGAGCACAGACTTCTAAGTAGTGCAAAGTTTTAGTAACTGCTCTGAAGCCCTCTGCCCCCCCCCCTTTTCCTACCCCCCACTCGACAGTGCTCATTTCTTTAAAAAAATCTGTTAACTACTGCGTTAAAGGGAAGCGGGCAGTTGCATTCTAAATGTGATAATCTGGTTGATAATCTAGTTGCAGATAGGTACTGACTTTTTAAGATGTTAGTAGTTGTTAGCTATATATGGTAGAAATTTGAAAAATGTGGCGATTCCAGACTCACATGGGGAAAACATTTTTTCTCTTTATGGGATGGTAAGAGATTTTGAAAATGAGTGTGTGTTTTAGATCTAGCTCTTCAGTTATGGAGAAACTAAAGACGCTTGAAATTGGCTTTAAAAACCCTCTGATGAAGAAATGTTATGCTTAGGAAAACTTTAGAAAAGCTTCTCCTTTTTATATACACTTACGTATTAGAGTAAGCACATATGAAACCTTTCTGTTTTTAATGGGAGGGGGTCATAGAATTTAGTTGCCTTTGAAAATGGATGTAAAGAAAAGTACAACAGTATTTTTGCTAAACCTTAACGAAAATTAGTATTTCCATCAACTATGAATATGACAAATCATGATATTTTTGACTTGTTGCCAACAGAAATAAAAAATATTCCCATCATGTTACAGTTGCAGCTATCTAGAAATACTATTTAAAAGAAGCTTTACTATTTAATGACAGTAGAGAAGCATAAATATATACATTTACTTTTTGCATCAGTAATTTAATATGTTGTATTTCTTTATAAATCCTAGATATTTTATATATGTAATAATATGATTTGAAAAGGCTTCACCAGATTGCAAAAGGGGTATGAGACACACAAGAGAGTTCAGGACACACAGATCAATGGAATAGAATAGAGATTTCAGAGTAATTCCATTTTTGTTTAGTTGGTTATCCATGGAGGTCCTGAGATAGAAGAGAGATAATCAGTTTCTTCTACAAATGGTCGCAAGACAAGTGGATATCCACAAAGTGGGAATTCTACCTCATACACTATACAAAAATTAACTCAAAATAGATAAGAGTTAAATCTTACAACTATAAAACAATAGGAGAACAAGAAATAGGAGTAAGTCTTTGTGTCCTTCGATTGTATTTTTTTTAAGAGAGGACACCATTTACACACCACATAAAGTAATAAATTGTATGTGATCAAAATTTAAAATTTTGCAATTGAAAAGACAAAAGGAAAAAATTCTTCTAAATCATATGTCTAAAAAGGAACTGCATCCAGTATAGATAAAAAAGCTCAACAATAAAAAGAACCCTATTTTTTTTTT